ACGACAGGGATTGAAGATCGAACTTAGATATCGAGGTTTTGTGAAAGGCGACGGAACAGTTTGCGTTCCTTTCGGGAGAATGGAAAATCCGACGAATAATAATCGAAGATCTGGATCTAGAGTAAATTCCATTCACAGATTTGCGTGTATTTCAGGCGCGACACAAACGATCAACTTCGCGACTTCACAAAAGGTGTCTAATCCTACGAACAACAGTTAAACGAGGAGTAGTTAATTCCTCTGCGATTCTCTTTGTCCCTCGAACGTTCGCAGCGAGAGAAAGCTGCTCGTTGCTCAGCTGGCAAGCTAGAAACGAGCCTTTTGAAACGATAAAGTCTTCAGAGCTTTTCTCAAATTAGACGCCTCGAACATCAGTAGCTCTGATTTTCTCTGGAACTGCACCGGTTGTAACGGCGTCTATTGCGAACGTTCACGTTCACCGGTGCGTTTCTTTGATCGTCGAGGTTTAGCCGTGGCCGAAGCTACTAATCGCGAATTGATCGGGCTGAAACAGGCACACGGACGAACCTTGAGATGCGATTTCTTTCTTCATTCGATGTCTTTGTGCGAGGATAATCTCGCTGGAAAGCGAAAGGAAGCCCCACGAGTTTAATCACGTGACGGCCGAGCGGTGCGCTCATTTCACTAATTGGGTAAAACTAATAATAGCAGCAGTCTCTCTCTCTCTCTCTCGCTCTTCCTTTCTGTTTCTTTTTGCACCTTTGCCGTGTCGTCTGTAACTTTCGCCCGGTGCAAATACACGAGCCACGGAACCGTCTTTCTCCCCTTTTCACCCGCTTCCCTCACAACTCTAATTGAAACTTACGATCTAGCCTAGCGAATGGTGAATTCAATTTCGTTGGTAGGAACACGATCGAAAAATCCCAGCTAGCTCGTTTAAATCGCGGAAAGAAGATTAAAGAACACACACATACACACCCTGGTTTGGCGTGCGATTTTCTCTTCAACGTGAAAAACAAACAGAGATCCACGGATACTTCTTTTTTTTTTTTTAATAAACGACACGGTGATATTTCAATTTGGCCTGGTACAGCGTTCTCCAAGCGATACGACGCTAGAGGAATTATTTTTTACATCCGTGTATCGGTGGTTCGATATTTTTACGCTTCGTTCCGAAACACAAAACGCGATATTTTTTTATCCAGCCGTCTCTGGAAGTTTCTGTCGTGCGAAGGTAGGTGTACACGCGTGTTACGCGCTTCTAGCCCATTCACGCCTCGACTTTTATCCGTGGATTCTGTTCCCGATTGGTGTTAATAACACGTTACGTAGGAGTGATTTCTTTTTCCCTTTTTCGTTCTTTTCGCAATGGTAGAATCGCAGTTCGGTTTTTATAGGGGGGATATAAAGTATGCAGAGAGGGATAGTATCGAGCACAGGTGGGAAATTTAATCTCGAAAGCATTAAACAGGAGGCAGCCTCGCGGGGCGGAAGTTCAGCAGTTGCGGCGGATGTAATTAGGAAACTCTTTCTTAGCACCGACATCGCGGCGAATCGTAAATCTTCCAGCGACTCAAAGTGTTTTCTCATTTTTCCGCTTAAACTTCGTTCACCTCTTTTCTTCATCATCGAAACAACGAACTGGGCTGCTGGGAGCGCGGTGCATTCGTTGCGGAAAATATGGCGGATAGAGAAAGGCGGAGGACAACGTAACCTCGTTTTGCATATAAAAAATGTGTTCCTTATCTTTTGGAATTTTTCATCTTTCTCTATCGTATTCTCGATTTTTCCCGCCACGTTTCTCTGGAGCACGATTGTCAATTTAAAATACGAAAGATATTTTATTCTTTTTGCCTTTCTCTAAAATATTTTAACACTGCTTCTTCCCCTTTTTTCAGTGCTCCCAACACTTCCCGCCACATTTTTCAGGAACACGATTGTCAATTTAAAATACGAAAGATATTTCCTTCTTTTTCTCTTTCTCTACAACTTTTCAACATTGTTTCTCGCCTTTTTCAGTGTCCCCAACTTTTCCCGCGACATTTCTCAAGAACGAACGATCGTCGATTTAAACGAGACGTTCAAGGGCACTTTAAACGAGAGTCGTCTTTAAAACCAGGCGAATTAAGTTGCCTACTTCCACGGGAAATACGGTTTCTTTTGGGGATAGCTTTGTCTCGTCTGAGACAGCGCGTTTTATAGGAGCGGTTACGTCTGGTGAGCCACGAAAAATCTATTCCACCGCGAAACGTCCGATAATTCACGTAGAAAGATACACCTCGCGAAGGTGCGCGGTGCAAGCAGCGTGTCTCACTTGTTAACTTCACCCCTCGATGTGTACATAATAGAACAGAACAAATAGTTGGACAAAGCTTGCTCGAAAAAAAGCTCGACTACTAGCCCGAGTCAAAGGGTTGCTTTCTCAGAAATGAAACCCTACGAGGAAACCCTGGGAATATCGAAACATTCCCGATAATATCCGTAGAACCACCGATGCTGAGTTACAAATGCTGCTTAAACTGATTTCATAATTAGCCTGGTTAATTAATAAACCTTCGAAAATTCCTTTCACTGATCCATTCAGAGGGAAACCATTGGAAAGGTACTATTCTTTCGTGTATTTTACGTCACGGTGGAATTTCTCTGACCTTGTTAAAAGTGAAAAATCACATTCGCGATGGAATATATAAAAAGTGTTTGAAATTGTACGCATCGGGAAATTTCGCGAGTAAGATTTATTCGCAAAGAAACTTCGTCGCGGCTGTTATAATTTTTCGCGAGTGCTGTTTGCATGAAAAACAGCGGCAAACAGAAGACCGCGGAAGTATTTCAGAACGAACGTAGAAAGAAGATACGTATTTTGCGGGCAAGGGAATCTGGTTATCTTGACGAACCGCGCCGGCTGGAATAATAGGGGAATGCGAAGCAGCTGGCCCCTGCTAAGCTCTGACAGCCGTTTGCATTTTCAGCACCCTGCAACTTCGCGTTATTAAAGGGAGGAATCCCGCGGTGTGCATACGTCCTCCCGGTAATCAGGTGGTCGTCTCGAAATTTTACCAAGTTTCACGCTTCTTTAAAGCGGAGGAAAGTCGGAAGTTTCGAGTGAAGTGGCATAATGCGGTTGGTGACGTAGAAATTCAGCTTAGGATTTACTTGGAAGCCTTTAAATCTCTAATTCCTTCGAATTTGCTAAGAAATTCAGGAAAGGAAATAGTCGACCACCAAGATCGATCGTTTAAATTTGCAGCGCGAAATTTTACAGGAAAAAAATTGTTTCGGAAATAATGATTGCACGCTAGATCTCAATATTAATAAAAAAAAAAAAAAATGAAATTTTCAGCGGTATATTGACAAGAAAAGAATTTTTACTCAAATAAAAATCAATGCAAATTTGCGTAGAATGATAAAAAAATGAGATTTGCAGGGAAAGAAATTTTTTCCCAACTAATGATTCTACTCTAACATTTCTATTTACATTAATGTATACAAATTTGAACAGAGATACGAAAAAAGAGCGGTGACACAAGCATAACACGTTATTTCAGCTGACATAACAGCGGACACTGTAATTTGCATGGAAATCGCGAAAAAATTGGGAGATTCACACGTGTTAAGCACAAAGGACACACCGTGTCCACGGTTCTCAGGCGAAAGATCATCTCTCGTGAGATTTGACTAACGCGCCAGCTAGTTCACTCTCGTAACTTCTCATCGCCGCAAATGAACATGACGGTGGAAAAAACCTCGTTGATTTCCACGGTGTCGTATATATATACACACCTGTCTACCTTGAAATTATTCCACGACAAAACGAAACGTCCGCCGGCCGATCAAACGGACCGTTTTTTCAACGGCTGCCTTTTTTCTACGCTGCACACGCATTGTTTTACATAGACAGGGGCCGCGAGTCGACACGTGTTTCGCAGTTTCCACTGTCGGCCTCGTTCCCGCGTGGCTGCTTTACGATCAATAAAGTATCGCGTCGTCGGACAGAATGGACATATTCGGCGTTTACCGCCGACAGGTTTTTCAATCGTGCCGAACAGTATGCCGGTGACGTTCGTCTTCCGTTCGTGGAAACACCCTTTTCACGGGAATATCCCGACAAACCGCGCTTTTTTCGGGATCGTTTAACGATGGCTGCGTTGACTCGTGCTAGAGATCGATGTGTCGCGTATTTTGAAAATTTAGGGAAATACTTTTTTGTATTATATTTGAGTCAATAGAGGTGGATATTCTGATACAGTGAAGTAGCGAATTAAAGCTGTACGGTGTTAAGATTTGCGTATATTATCGATCGAAAGTTTGGGCCACTGTGCATTGAACGTTACGGAAAAATTTTCAGAGAAAGTTAGCAATTTCAAAGATTTTTTGTCACTGAAGTTAAGCAGGTAAATTGCTGTGGATCTCCACAACGTCAATTTCAAATCTGTAGAGAATTAGTGGCATAAATTTTCAGATGATTCTATATTTAAATTCAAAATTCGCGATAAACAGGAAAATTGGTCGACAAACTTAACCATCGAAAGACCAACCTTTCTCCAGCAAAAATTTACAGCTTGCAGGACTTACAAGGCATCAAAATGCCCCAATCCACATATTCAACCCTCGTACGACGAATGCAGGGTCATTTTGACTCAAGTCAGGCGGCTCAGATTAGAAAATACACAAGAAAAATATAAAGTAGAAATTTTGCTATGGGTCAAAATGACCCTGCATCCGTCTGTAAGACCATTCGCCGTCCGAGGGTTAAGCTAGATTAATATCCACCTGAAATTCGCCAAGAAATAACACACGTCGCCACATCCAGAGCATTATGATTCCCGTAATTCCCGAAAGAATCTCGAAGCCCCGCGACTATTGACTGACATCCACTCAACCGTGCAAACAGATAAGTCCTCGGATAAAAATCAATCTGTCCCCCGGTTTGGATAGGCGAATATCGGAGGCGGTCCGTGCAATAACAGACCGCGCAAACATCCCGAGTACGCGTCGAGACGTTCCCCCGTTCGAAAGGGACGAAGGAGAGGGAATCTTACCTGTATAACTCTCGATTTGTTGAGGATCGTATTCCCGGACGGCTGGTAACGTTCCATGTCCCTCAGGATACCCCGCACACCGACGTCCTCCGCGTCGACCAGACGGAAGGCAGTGATATTGACGAAATTGTACTTGAAGTCCTCGAGGTCGAAGGTCTCGATATCCTGGAAAAAGGGGACAGACCGATCGCGTTTTCCCAACCGTTCTCGTCCTTACACCCCCTACGGCTGTCTCTTCTCGGGCCATTCGGTATACTTACGAAAGTCGTGAAGAGATAGTGGTACTTGTAGTCGTTCATTTGCAGCTGCAGGATCTGAAAGCAGACACGTGCGGTGCTTTATTTCCGGTTTACTTCAGGATCAGGGATACGTGTTTCCTATAGATCCGTTTTATTCCCTCGATTTTATTGTCCGGGTTTAGATTTGACGGAGGTTTTAGTTCAACATCGAAGTTCGAGGAGAACCTTTGGATATGTAAGTTTGGGTTTGTAACTCGTAACAACGTGTCAGACTCGTGGCAGAGATTTTGGTGAAGATGCAATTCTATCTTTCGTTTAAATTTTGTAACACCGAGGACTGATTAATTTGTAACTTTTGCAGCAAAACAGTGAATGGCTGACGCTCGGATGCACAGTCAGGAAAGAAATCACGGGTTAAAGGGTTAAAGGCAAAAACTGAATTTACAGAAGAAGCGAAATTACGATTCTTTTGCTCTGAAATATTTCATAAACCGTTAGGTATTTAGACGAACTCTTCGATTCTCCATCAACCAACCGAGTTCCACAAGGATATCGCTCTAAAATTCCAAGCAATGGAAAAACTTGGCGAAAGATCAACCGGCGTGTGCGCAGAAATGACGGTTGTTTTAAACGTTAAAAGATATGAATAAACGAAACCAGGGGTCGAAAGTTCGTATTGGACAATAGCAAATACTAGAGCAGGGAGAATAGCCGGGAGATATTTACACCGGAGACGCTGGGCGGAGGGAAATCGATACGCGAATATGTAGTTACCATTCGCAGAAAATGATGCATATGCTCCGGCCTGGTATCCACGATGAGATTCCGTATTTCCTTGCTTTTCATCTCGGAGAGAACCTGCCTGTAGGAATCCGGGTCGGCTTGCCTCAGGTTAACCTCGATCTCTCGAGACTTCGGCGACCTGACGAGCTCTCGTAGCTTCACCAGTCCTGAAACACGAGATTAACTTATGCATCCACGTCGATTAGAGTCGGAACCAATCGGTTAGGCTCTTTCGAGTTTGTTCGCACGCCAACGACCGAATTCTCAAGAGAAGAGATTGCCGAACTGCGCCAGGTGACACTTTTCAGAAGAAGATCTGCGTTGCTTTGGACACTGCCTGACCGATCACGACGTCACGATTATCAGACGTCGATGGGAATTAGTAAGATGAAAGAAGTCGGTGAAAACGACTGGTAGGGAACTTCTTTGACGAGGGAATGCAAAAGGTGGTTCCTAGATTGAATAGTAGTGGAAAAATAAATTGTCAAATTGGTAGGTAAATAATTTCAATATATTTCTGAGAGAATCAACCTGTCTTTGGAGATTTTCACTTAAAATATTTGTCTCTGTACCGTTCTATCGTTACACAGAGTGCAAATATTGTACGTATTGCGGGTATTAATTTTTGACCGCTATTAGAACGGTACAACTTTTTTGAAATTGGACCAAACCACTTGACTATTTTCGAGAAGTTAGAAGAATTAGTTTACCAGACGATGTGTGTAAAAAATTAAAAAAAAAACTGCAATTTGTGGGAAGAAAACTGTAAAGGTCGCTGTTTACAACTTTTCCTATCTGAGCTAGCTGTGAAAATTTAAAATCAATTATACACAAGTCGTTTGGTCCAATTTTCAAAAAATTATACTCTTCCAAAATTGGCCAGAAATTAACAAACGCGACTGTGCATGCCACTAAAATTACAAGAGGATATGTTGATAACGAGGAAGAAGAGACACCAAGAATTTCTATCGAATTCTTTTCACGCCCCTCTCCAGCGAACCTTTTATCGTTCCAATAAAATTTGCGACCGCGCCGAAATAGTTTTTCCGCGAATCTCCTTAGACGTTATTAGGCTGGCCGTTTAATGGGACGGAAACCCGTGAATCGCGTCGACCGATGAAATCAATACTTCCCACCGCCTAAGTAATCAAGGTATCATCTCGACTTGCGGGTCTTCCGAGGTTCGAGTTCGTTCCCTTTCAAGTTTCCACTCGGAACTTGGACGTCCGGGATTCTCTCTGTCCCGGGGACCAACGTTTCTACCATTTTCCTTCAGCTCGATTCAGACCGTCGAGCCATTAGTTACCAAACGGAACAACTTCCACAGAAATTCATCAACCGATCTACGTAACAGATTCGCCGCCCTGCAAAATGCAACGTTTCGATTATTATTCAACGAGGACACGGTGCGTGATGGTTTAATAGACACTCGGTTGTACAATTCGTTGTCGCGAAATTATTTACACAAACTGACAGGATTTAACCGGAGCAAGTCGTGCGAATGAACAGACGTTTCGCGTGGACAGCACCGTCACCGAAACTCGGCCAGCTTTTCCTGTTGCGGACTCGTTAATTAACGCGAACAAATCTGTGGACAGGTTGGCTAATCCCTCTGGCAAGAAGCGGAATTTAATTGTCATTGGTTCCGCGTGCAATCCTGTTTGCCGCATTCCACCAATCTGTAAACACGCGAGCTTTCGCGCAGGACGGAAGCTATTTTTCCGTCGATTCTCGAGGAAGGTGCGTTGTCGAACTGAAATTTTTCGAGACAATATCAATCTTCCGAGACGAAGGAGGAATTATTTTGAAAGAATTAAATTTTATAAAAGCGCCAATGTTTTAAAATTTGAACGTTCGGTGACAGTAGGAACTTGTGTTACAACTTCTGAGGGAAATCTGCAAAAATTCCAGGAACGTTTGTCGCAAAATTTACGAAAGCGCCGGTGTTTTAAATTTTACGTCTACGGCGGTAGATATATTTTCTGTACCATTGAATCATTCCCTATTGTGAAACTTTCGTGGACAAATGATTGCGTATCCCCTCTTGCAAACAGATCGCTAACAAGCCAAAGCAAACAATGCACCGTTCTCCTTTGTCGCGAACAGTACGGAGCAATACGATAACTTCGATTGAATCGACGGCTGATTAATCGAGATTACAAGCGGCACGACTTCACGCGAGTTAAGCAGGAATTCCTCGCGGCGAAGTTAAACGAACCGGCACCGTTTGTTGCTGCCAATTTAATATACCAGACATCTGTCTTCGATGCACTCGGAAACTACTCCCCATTCGAGATTCCAGAGACTCGAGCGTGCTCCGGCAATAACAACAGGATAAATCATCAGAGTTTTTTCTACAGGAAACCATCGATCTCGGGGTCGTTAGAGCTTCGCTTCTTTCTTGAAAAACGAGTCGAAAAAAGGCGCGTCGAACCTCTAAAAGCTTCAGAGAATCTCTGATCTTTCTAGACTATTTTCCAGGGAATGATGGATTACAATTATAAATATCTAAGCGTAACGAAGAGTACCAAAAAGGTAGACGCTCGAACGAAGAGTATTTGGACCAGAAAGATAGACGTCTGATAAGCTTTCTCGCGTGAATATTTCGTCTAGAGCGATACCTGCGTGAACGAAGAATTGAGCGACAGAAATGCGAAAGAAAAGTGTTCAAATCGAGAGAGTGAGAGTATCAAGCGAAACAAGAGTATTTAACCATCCAAAATTTGGCTAGACGTGACCAAATGCGCTTCAAAAATATCTGCATACAGCGAAAAAGCTCAAGAAACATAAAATAATCGGATGAAAGAGTAAAACAAGGTGAACGAAACACTCGCAGACCACTCAAAGTGGGGACAGAAGAACACTCAGCAGGTAGCAAACACTGTCGAGTCCCACAGAATCCTTATCCCGATGAAAACGCGATAAAGGAGCGAGGAGACGCTTGAAGAGGCGGCAGATAATTTCTCGAGGGACGATGGAGGCCGTGGTACGAGACACGTCCCGGCTCGAAACAAATTATTATATCGGCATTTACCTACTCTAACGACAACCACTTACGATCGTGCCTCGGATGCCGATAACCGAGCGTCTGGATGAAATATTGCCGCGCCACGGTGCGAGGAAGGAAGTCGTTCATTTTTCCCTATGCTCCTCTTTTCCATAGCCTAGCTCTATAGGTAACCGTCGGCTCAATCCAATTGTTCGCGTCTTTCGGCTTACATATTCCATCGAAACAACCGGATCGATAACGATGATAAATTGCCGATGACAACGTGCCTGTCCCGCCACTTCACGGTTATTAGATAATAGAAAAAGATTGATATCCGCGCGTTTAGGTCTACCGATGCCCGCAGGATGCTCCATTCTCAAAGAAGGCACACACCGGTATACGTACATCCGACAACGATGCTTCCCTCTAAACACCACCGATAAAGGAGGCAGCCTGACATTTACCTCCTTCCTACAAGGACATTTCGTTGTCCTTTACGATAATGACCGAGAGCTGTTGCACTCGCGTTTCTCTCGGATAACGAGACGATCTCTCGCCACGTTGTGACAAGAAACGAGAGAGTTTCTCGAAGATAGGCTAAGGCCCGAGAAGCGCCGAAGATTGTGAAAATTTTTCGTTCGATTGTAAATCTCTGAAATGCACTTTTCACGAGCTCCTTTAACGTTCCCAGACACTTCCCTTATCTAACGTCTTCTGCTTGTGCTCCTCTTTAAATCATTCCTCCATTGGTTTGCTTTCTTCCTTACTTTTCCAAGGTTTTACGCAGGTTTTTTCTTACTCTGCAAGATTCTTCATTTTCCGAGTTTTCCCTGACCTCCCTGCTCATTTTTCAAATAATTGCTCCGCGGTTTCTACGGCTTTGCTTCTCCTCGTTCCGCGAGTCTCTAAATTTCGCAACCTGACACCCCGCTGCCGCGCTTTTTCTCAGTCGTCTGCCGCAGTCTGGCACGCTTCTGCGCTATCTTTCAGTGACACGCGAGAAAGAGACAACGTCAGCTCTCCGTTCCGGTGATTTAGCTGCCGTGGAACGCGTACGTGGCAGACTGGTTACATATTTCCTGGATGGCCGAATACCAGCCACTCCGCCATCCAAGGGAGCCGAGACGAACGTTACTCGCCACTTTTTCCACGATGTCCCGAGAATCTTTATCGCGGCTGCCAATATCGCGCGGATCTGTCAGTGACGCCAGGCGGTTTTCGACTATTCTTGTACTTCGTGACGGGAATACGTATCGAGTGCCTTCGAGTACATCTCTCTCCGCTTGCTTCGAACCGGTTCGAATTTTGAAGCACGGCGAAGTTGTCACGTGTGAGAAATGAGAGGAGATCGTGTTTGCTGGGAAATTTAAGAGACGGCGATGGTAATTTAGAAAATTCGAGAGCAGCGTGTGATATTCGTGAAGAAATTTGCAATTGAAACAGGGAAGATGATCGTGATATTACAAAGGTGAAAACGATAAACGATATTCCAAACGATGGAAGTTTGAAATGCAGCGTGGTGCTCTCCTATTGTCCAGGAGGATCCGTGAGAAGTGCACGAGAATAAGAAGGATCGAGGGAAAGGATCGAGGGATGCCACGAGTGGAACGAGTCCTCGAACTTCGACAATGGATGTCGATGGTCAGAGCCCCGGAGGCTATTGGTGATTCCCAAAGCGTGAGGAAACGGAATTCAGTTGCTTGGATTAGGAACAGGGTCAAGATCCCTCTCTATATCCCCATTTCTTCCGTGTTCTTCCGGAATTTCTGTGCATAGGTGCTTGATACTTAAACGTGAAGATAATTCGCGAGATTGTTACACGCATTTATGATAAATATCTGAATTATTTCCCGCGATACTGAAGGTGAGAAAAAATCACTGAGAGTAATTTTTTCTGGTTTCTGATACCAGAGGAGATCGTTTAAATGGCGAAAATAATTTGGGAGACTGTTTGAAATCTCATATAGGGCGTCTCGCTTGTAATTTAAACTATTTCTTGTGATATCGAAGGTAAGATAAAATCACTAAGAGCTATTTAAAAATTTTTTTTGTACTTTTAAAATTTTATTCGTGTAACTGTTCCTCTGCTGGCGTAATTTGGTGTCAATTTTTATTGGTTTACCTTGAATAATTATGCACAATCTAAGATGCACAAATTCTCTTTAAACGAAGATTAAC